AGAAATAGAAACGATAATCTGATTTTGCTCCAACTTTGCAAATCCTAATATTTGCGTCAGTGCTAGGTCTGGTGCGAAAATGGACAATATCGGTCCACTCCTTCTGGTACATCCCCCACAAAGGGTCAAAATTTTAAATAATTACAACTCTCATAAAATTACATCACATTTTATGAAAGTTATAATTATTATCCGATTGTCTTGAAATTTCACACATCCCAATATTTATATTCTTTACAACTTGCTACATCTAAATATATGTCTCTCAACCAGAATCCTGAAATGAATATGGAATTAACCATTTCGCAAAAATTTAATATAAATTTTCGATTTTCTTCTATATTCATAATAATATTTATATCATATTTATTTAGGTCCGATATGAAATGGACAATATTGACCCATTCAAAACCTACTCCATAGAGGGTCAAGAGTTTGAAAATTCATAACTGAAGTCAAAATATGTTTTAAATAAAACATTGGCTGAGGGTATACATCTGTCGGCAAATCGACCGATACTTTTTTACTTGTTTTTCAGAATTTTAAATAAGCGTAATTTTCCTTGAAGGCTGACAAGAATATGACAAAAAAATTAAAAGTATCTTATTGAGAAATTCATAATCTATATCATACATACCCTTGAGCTTAAAATTCAAATGTCTGTGATTACCACTCACTTTCATCGACTATTAATTTATATAAAAACTGTTCTTGAGAACAATCAAAAGCAACTAATGAAAGCCGAATGAATTGCATATTTTGTTTCTAAAGCGAGATTAATGCACAGTTTTTAGTTTACTTTAAATTCTTGAAATGGAAAAGAAAAGGTTTACCAACTAAAGAATTTGAAAAGAATTATAAACTGATTTAACCACTGTCCTGGACTCAAATTACACTTAGCAAAACAAATATTCTCTCGTACTTACCCCCAGTGAACAATTTATGAATGGGGTTAACAAATATCTGCAAAGAGAAAAATTATAAATCAATTGAATGTTACCAGATTGAATGTACAACGTAAGTGGAAATTAAGAAATCATATTTTGTAATTGGCTTCCAACACCTTAAGATTTCTTGAAATCTCCCTAACCGGGATCATGTCAAAATATTCTTCAAAATAAAACTATATGTCTCGGAACACATCAAAACATAAAATCTTTTCTTATGGAAATATTTAAAGAGGAAATAATGATACTAGTAGCGTAGCCCGAAGTCAAGGAAGCAGACGGAAGAAAACAGCAACATCAGCAGAAATTGTTCGAAAAGTAAAAAAGATACTTGATCGTAACCAGCGTCGCGGTGGCCGAAAAATTACTCGTGAGCTGAACATATCGCAATATTCCATTCGGCAAATATTGAAAAATGAACTCGGGGTAAAGCCATTGAAATTCCAAAAAGTTTAAGAACTTACACCGCAACAGAAAGAAAATGGACTCAAAAAAGCTAAATAGTTGCTTCGCTTCGTCGAAAGAGGTGAACTGCCGAATTTTGTATTCTCCTTGGACATTCCAACGGGACTCAGTACCATCGCACTCAGCACGCGCCACCCAAGAATGGTTACAAAATGAGGTTCCTCGCTTCATTTTCAGCGCATAATGGCCACCAAAATCTCCGGATATCAATCGGTTGGACTATTGTGTCTGGAGTATTTTGGAAAGCAAGGTTGGCACTACAAAATACCAACGTGTCGATCACCTCAAGCAAGCGCTTCGCCGAAAAGAGGCCAAAATACTGCAGAGTAACATTCGGACAGCGTGTGACGGTTTCATTGGCCGTTTGAAGGCCATAATTCGTGAGAAAGGTGACCAATTAGAACAAATCCAAACTTATTCTAAAATTTGATGCTATTTCCGACATTTTTTGCTTTCATTATATAAAATAAAAAAAACATATTAGAATTATGACGTCATATTTTTTTTGCAGTTTTTTATCTCACCCTGTATATTCATGATTAGCGTAAAATTCTAAGTCGATTTAACGATGTCCGTCTGTCTGTCCGTCTGTCTGTCCGTCTGTTGCAATCACGATACAGTTCACATTATTTGACGTAGAGCTTTAAAATTTGGCACGGTACATTGCATTGTGTCTAGGATGGTTGGTTTTGGGATAGTTCCCATATAACGGTACCTCCCGATATTCGGTATTTTGATGGTGTTAGCCACATATCTCCACCAATTTGTCTAAACATTTCTATTTGTTGTTTGCAATGGGTTCCAGCTTCGGTGACAGAACATTGGTTACACAGGTCTACGTGTTCGGATCGTCCCCATATAACGGCACCTCCCGATATTCGGTATTTTGATCATTTTAGCCACATTTTTCACGGATTTGTCTAAAAATGGGTATTTGTAGTTTATTATGGGTTCTAGCTTCCATGGAGGAACATTGTGTATAAAGGTGCACGTTTCGTATACCCCCCTGTACCTCCCGATATTCGGTATTTTTATGGTTTTAGCCACACATCTGCACCAATTTGTCTAAACATTTCTATTTGTTGTTTGCAATGGCTTCCAGCTTCGGTGACAGAACATTGTTGATACAGGTCTACGTTTACGGATAGTCCCCTTATAACGGCACCTACCGATATTTGGTATTTTTATGGTTTTAGCCACATTTTTCCACGGACTTGATTAAAAATGGGTACTTGTAGTTCATTATGGGTTCTATCTCCGATCGAGGAACATTCTATATAAAGGTGCTCGTTTTCGTATAGCCCCCGTCAAACGGTACCTCCCGATATTCGGTATTTTGATAGTTTTACCCATATTTTTCTACGGATTTGTGTAAAAGTTGGTATTTGAAGTACATTATGGGTTCCAGTTCAGCTGAATATTGAATATCTAGGTCCACGTTTTCCTATAGCGCACATATATAGGTTCCATCGGATATTCGGTATTTTGACGATTTAAGCCTCATTATATCCTACAACACTACGTGTTGGGGGTATTATAAGTTTGATTGGGCCAAAAATTATGTAACACCAAGAAATATTCATTTCCCACATAGGAAAGTATATATGGATCTTCCTATCTCGCCGAGCTGAGTCGATCTAGCTATGTATGTCCGTCCGTCTGTCCATGTTAATTTGTAATCACTCTACTGGTCGCAATTAAGGCCCGATCTTCACGAAATTTAGAATGGAGGTGGGTCTAGGGTCGGAATAGAACCCTATTTCTTTTGGAGATGATCGCATAATATTTAGGGGTTGAAATGGACCAAAACCTGAAAAAAACCTGATTTTGCAGTTGCTCTCCAGGTCGCAATTTTAGTACAATCAAAGCGAAAGTTAGCATGGGGCTAGAGGGCTGGGCAGAAGCCTTCCAATTTTGATGGTCATCCAGTAATATTTAGTGGGTGAAATAGGCCACAACATTTGTGTTAAATAAAAATCAAATTTTCCATTAAATCGCGAATTTTTTATTCCCTGCGAAATCACAAATAGTCGAACAGGTCAATTCTGACCGTTACGTAGATGCCGATAGTAAATATATCGGTTATATATATCGAAATATGTACAATGTGTATATACAAAGGAAGGGGATGTTAGTTAGAATGCTTATATCTACAGAATTGCTGGAGCGTTTTTGACAAATTTTGCCAAATCAGAATTCCCTCTTGACATAAAAGTATAAAATCTAAAAAATCGCAGAAGAATATGCCAATAATGACGATAATATAGATTTTGTAGTATTTTGTGAAATTTTTTTTTTTATTTTTCCTATTTTTTATCGCATGCGATTTTTTCAATTTGATATATAATATTTTGTAGTATTTTTTCACCTTACAACACAGGTTGAGATATTATACAAGTATATCAAATACCGTCCGATCCTCACGAAAATTTTCACAAGGATAGGGTTGGGCTCAGAAGGGCTAGGCCTATTGTTTTCAAAGATGTCCGCAATATATTAAGGGTCGAAGTGGACCAACAACTAAAATTTTTCCTGATTTTGAAGCCGTTATAAAGGTCACAAATAGAAACTAAAGGACAGCGGGAAGAATGGACCACTAATTTTGTGTGAAAAAATACCAGCATTACTTATAGGCGATATCCGAAATACACAAAAGGCGAACTTCTGGATTTTTTATGCTGATTTAGTTGACGAATATAGCCAAATATCGTAGACAAGCAAATCACATAGATTAGTCTAAATTTTTGAGATACAGAGGGGCTTCTTGCTTTTGGAGATGATCGCAATATATTTAGGGGTTTAAATTAACCAAAAACAGAAATGTTTTTCCGATCACACAATTGAAGTCAATCGACAAGCCTGTGAAGAGAGTTAAGGACAGGGAAGAATTCTAGCATTTTGGATGACCATTGGATTATATTTAGCTGTAAAATGGACCACAACAACTAACAGCCTGACGGAGTGTATAAATATTGGGCAAATGTCTTTAGTGAAAATCCTAATTTCGAAAGCAAAATCTTCCAATATGGATTTGGACATAAGGGGGCTTCTAACATATTGTAGTGTTGTAGGGTATGACATAGTAATAATAGATTTGTGTAAATTTTGGTATTTGTACAACCGCCGTCAAAAAATTATTCATATTGGTCCTAGTTATCCTATTCGCAATTACCCACGTAATTATGTAAAATGTTGTATTTAAGACTCGAAATAGATTAGAATCGTTGTAGTATAAAATTGTCTCCCGTTTGCCGTAATGTCGTTTTACTTGTTTTCAAATCAATCAAATCAAAATATAAGGGATTTTTTTATTAATTCGAATTTTTCGCTTTCAATATGGCGGATACTTGCAGTCTATTTATTTATTAATGTTTTAATTAATCTAATTACATTATGTCCTCGCCAATTAGGCATCTACAATCTGGCAACATTCATTTAAAAACACCCACCAGCTGAGAGATGGGTGCTGCTGCAATAAACAGAGCAAAATATTTTGCAAAATGAAAAATATAAAAAAATGAGAGGTATTTAGAACAGACTGGGAGAAGAAAAAAAATATGACTAGCGAGAGAGCTCGTTCGGAACTAAGTCAACACAACAACTACAACATATGGCCCCAAAAACACACAATTTTAAGGTGAACACAAATTTTTAGCTTACAAGACAGTTGTAAAAATATAACAGGAAACAGCAGACTTGGCATTATTCACGGGACTCCAGACAAAAGCAGACGCAATGTGGCGCCAGTGTTAAGTGGAGCAAAGTAGAAGCAGCAGTAGCAGCAACAAACAAAAAATTCATATAAAATAAATACAACTAAATAGAAAAAGAAAAAAATAATAATAATAATAATAATGGCAAATGTTTACAAAAAAATGTGTGAATGAAAAGAAGAGTGAAACAAATGTGAATTTATGGCAGAGTGAAAAGAAGTTTTGCTAAGTAAAAAAGAAAACAAAAAAAGTTTATATTTTTTCTGCAAACATCCATGGATGTATGTAGTCGTCTAATGCAACACAGTGTGTGAGCGTATTGTATGTTTGTTGGTTTGTGTGTATGCGGGTATGAAAGTTAGTGGGAGTTTTTTGTAACAGTACAACGGCTAAAAGGTGCAAAATACCGTTATATTTATATCCCCACCCCCACGAAAATTGTAACTTCTGTGACGAATGTGAAAAGCCAAAACTCCATTGCATGACGGACAGAGAAAGATAGAGAGAGAGAGAGAGAGAGAGGGCGAAAGAGCACAATGGCCAAGAGAAAATGAAAACAACGTAACTGGAGAGTAAAATTTGTAATGCCAGTTGTTGTTGAGTAGCTTAGCTTACAGCAACTGCGGGTCTCGGTGCTTAGTTCACGCTGTAAAGTCATATGAATGGCATGTTGTAACGGCTAAATACACGGTATGGCCAAAGGACATTTTACATTATTGTCCTAGTCTTTGTCGACGTCGTCCTCGCTAACGCAGTGGTGGTGTGCTACTAGACTTCAGCCGCCGGTATTACAAAAATTGTCACACACACACACAAACACATGTGCGCACAAATATCTTGGCTTTTGCATAATCAATAGACGAAATAAAATAACAACCCTTTTTGAGAAAACAAAAATTATAACAAATAAATTTACCAATAATTAAATATTGTACAAAACATAAAATTTAAGTATTTGATGTGAAAATTAAATAATAATTGAAAGAAAAGAGTAAAAATACAAAGTGTTTACCAAGTGTTATCATCTTTATTCCCATCGTCATCACATCACATGTGGAAGAATAACAAAACAAAAAATAAATAAATAAATAAATGTGAAGAAAAAAAAAAAAACGTTCATTTCCAACAAAACAAAGTAAACAAATATTACACACAAGAAGAAAATACAACAAAATAAAAGAATACAATTTAAGTAAATATCAATTCGTTTTGCGGTTAAATGTAAATAAACAGCAGCAGCAGCAAGAAAACAATAAACAAGATGCGGTGAATTTGCTGATTTTTTATAGAAGAAAAGAAATCGACGTACAACAGTATTATACAATTGTACAAAACAGACATCAAAACAACAAGATTCCACAAAGCGAAAGAACATAATCAAAACAAAAACCGAGAGAAAAAAGGTCAGTTCACTTATCATCTGTAGTCCTTATTTATTGTACTAAAGGGGGGGAAATATGTTGGTTTGAAATATTGTTTTTACCTTATTGAATGTTAAACTTTTATAGAACTGTATTTGGTGTTAATTCGAGGTATGCTAGAAGGGAAGCAGGGAAGTTTAAATTATATCCACATCAGAAATTAAAACGCCTTTTTAAAACTTCTGGAAGCTGATGTCACCATTATTTGGTGGATATCCCTATGCTTGTCCCACATTGAACATGTTTTGGTCTTCTATTGATTTCGAATCTTGTCTTTGAGTTTTTATAAAGCCCATGCATTTTGAAAATGGGCCCAAGACTTTCAATACAAAAATAATGGGACAAAAATACTGGACGATAGGTAAAAATATTGGTATCTATATATATAAACGAGGAAAATGTTTGAATGTTTGTAATTTATGGACTCGAAAACCGCAGCATAGATTTTCCGGACAATTTGAATATATACTAAAGCATCGTCTAAAAGTAACATGGGCTATATAGATTTTACAAATTCTACTTAAAACTGGAGATATAACATCAGAATCGGAAGTACGTAGAAAATTTAGTTTTTTAAATGCACATACAGTCTGAGATAAAAAAAAAATTGCAACCAATTTCAGACTGCTGTAATTTCTAAGCCACTGGTCCGACAGCTGTTCAAATTATTCCAGTGACAGCTCATTATATTGGTTACAAGCGAAAAAACGCATTTTGGTGAGAAATTTACAGAAAACAAGTAAAAAAGCAGTAAGTTCGGCCGGGCCGAACTTTGAATACCCTCCACCATTTGGAACGAATTAGAAAATTTTCAAAAAAGTAAAATCCCTTAAAAATTCTGTTAAAATATTTAAAATATCTAACATCGGTAGGTGCCGATATATGGGGGGATATACGATATTGTGGACCTATATAGATAATTACCTTTCAGGGGTTAAATTGCTCACAAAGAACACCTTGTGTGGATTTTCTGAAAATTCCGTTGAAAAAATCAATTAAATACCGAGTATCGGGGGTACCGTTATATGGGGGCTATACGATATCGTGGACCCATATAGATAATTCTCTTCCAAGGGATAAAGTACTCACAAGGAACTCCTTGTGTGGATTATCAGAAAATTCCGTTGAAAAATGTGGGTAAAAAAAATCAAAATACCGAAAAACTGGGTGTACCGTTATATGGGGTCTATATGATATCGTGGACCTATATAAATGATTCTCTTCCACTGGATAAAGTACCCACAAAGAACTCCTTGTGTGGATTTTCAGAAAATTCCGTTAAAAAATATGGCTAAAATCATTAAAATACCGAATATCGGGGGTACTGTTATATGGGGGATATACGATATCGTGGACCTATATAGATAATTCTCTTCCGAGGTATAAAGTACCCACTAGGGACTCCTTGAGTGGAATTTCAGACAATTCCATTGAAAAATGTGACTAACACATCAAAATACCAAATATCGGGGGGTACCGTTATATGGGGGCTATACGATATCGTGGACCGATATAGTCCATCTTCGAACTTGACCTACCTGCAGACAAAAGAGTCGCTGTGGCCGAAAAATGGGTCGTGAGCTGAACATATCGCAATGTTCCATTCGGCAAATATTGGAAAAAGTGCAAGAACTTACACCGCGACAGAAAGAAAATAGACTCAAAAGAGCTAAAGAGTTGCTTCGCTTGGCCGAAAGTGGTGAACTGCCGAATTTGTTTTTTCCGCAGTTTGTAAACAAACAAAATGACCGTGTTTACTTTCCAAAGAGGTCAGCTAAAATTTTATGCTATTTCCGACATTTTTTTGCTTTCAATCAACAAAATTAAAAAAAAAGTAAAAACTATTGCGTTTGGCGGTTCAGATTGGGATATGATGGAGCATTAACCCACAACGCCTTTCCAATGGTATAAGGCTAACAGTAAAAAAAACTACACAACAATTTAATTGAGGATACGATTATTACGTGGAAGTATGTTGGTACCTATAATTCTCTAATTGCGACAGATATGCCACTAAATTTCAAAAGATTTTAGTTTCCTGCACGCTTGGCATTTGCTATGAAATTAATAAATCCTAAAGACAAATCCTTCGTGTATGCGGACTAAATTTGGCATGTTCCTGCTTTTTTCATGATCAGCTGTTCCTGGCATGTTCACGCGTTTTTAGACCGAGCTATTTGTTTCTGTACGCATTAAAGTATTACAACAATTACGTTTTTTTTAAATTTTTGAATTTATTTTTCTTTAAAAAAAAAATAAAATTTTGTAGAAATCGACTCAGAGGAGGATATTTCCCTCGTATATTTATTTACTTTGGACTCCAAATTATAAGTATAATCATTGTTGATATAATATAATAATATAATAGTTCTCATAAATTCCCCATAAAACTTTTATTTGTTATGTGAAGCTCTACTAAATATTCAAAGGTGCCATAAAGTCGTCTCGCCGGCTTTAAGATTTTCTTCACTGGTTTTTTCCTCAATCTGTGAATCTAGTTTCTGTCATGAAAAATTCTGATTTAACAAAAAGACAACAAGCTAAACTTTCCATGGCTTTAGGTTAAATGTTGCCTATGTTATTCTACAGTAAGGTCAGTTTTGTTTAATCGAATAACATCATTGGTTAATTGTTTTATTATGGACTTTTTGTACCTTTGACAGGTGGGTGTGCATGTGATGATATGTATGTCTGTGTGTGTGTTAAAACTCCATTAGTCTTAGAGAAAATGTGGGTTTTCTTACAAAGTTAACAAAAGAAAGAAATAACTAACCTTTCAAAGTTACTGTTAGAATGTTGTCGCTGTCGTTGTTGTTATACCCTACAACACTATGTGTTGGGGGTATTATAAGTTTGATTGGGCCAAAAATTATGTAACACCTCGAAATATTGGTTTCCCATATAGGAAAGTATATATGGATCTTCCTAGCTCGCCGAGCTGAGTCGATCTAGCTATGTATGTCCGTCCGTCCGTCTGTCCGTCTGTCCGTCTGTCCGTCTGTCCATGTTAATTTGTAATCACTCTACAGGTCGCAATTATGGCCCGATCTTCACGAAATTTAAAATGTAGGTGAGGTTAATGTCAGAATAGGACCCTATTTCTTTTGGAGATGATCGCCAAATGTTTAGGGGTTGAAATGGACCAAATACTGAAAAAATGTCGTATTTTGCAGTAGCTATACAGGTCGCAATTATAGACCAATCGACGCGGAATTTCGCATGTAGCTAGAGTTTAGGGCGAGGAAGAAGCCTACCAATTTGGGTGGTTATCGGATTATATTTAGCGGGTAAAATAGACCATATCTTTTGTGTTGAAAAAATTCAAAATTTTTCATTAAACCGCGAATATTCTTCTGATCTTTACATTGATGTTAACATCCAACAAATCGGATATATAGCAAAATATGTGCGATATATATGTTTATCAAAGAAGATATGCTTGAAAAATCTCTTATATGTCGAGAACGGCTGAATTGATTTCGACAGTTCTCATTAATTCAGAATGGTCTTTTGGCAGGAAAGAAAAAACGTCTAAAAAAATCTCATAAAAATATCTCTCTAAAGATGAAAATATTGATTTTGTAAAATTTTCTCATATTTTTTCAATTTTGTCATATTTTTGGCATATTTTCATTTTGAATTAAACATTTGGTAATATTTCTACAGCTAACAAAACTAAGTAGTTAGGATATCAGGATATCATATACAGATCGCATTTATGGCCCGATCCTTACAAAATTTTGCATGGGGATAAGATGAGGGTCAGAATAGAAGCCTCCTCCTTTTGGAGATGATCGCCATATATTTAGGGGTTGAAATGGACCAAAAAACTGCAAAATTGTCAGCAGGTCGTAATTATCGCCCGATCCTCAGGCACATTTGAATGGGGGTTACCGGACATTGCAAAAGCCAAGCAGTTTTGGATGGCCATCCAAAAATATTCAATGTGTGAAATAGTTTGCCAACTTTTGTAGACAAAATACGAAAATGTCTATTACAGTGACTTCTTGGAGAATTCACAAATACAGGAAAGACGCACTTCTGACTATTTAGTTAACGCTGATTTTGTTGAAGAATATAGTCTAATGGCTGTATCTCATATAGATGCGTTTCAGTCAAAAGCCAATAATAAATGTTAATCTTTTGCCACTTCTGAGAGACGATGGGTCTTTGGGAAATATTGGTTCCAGATCTAGGAAAACCATTTACGTGCAACATCTTCCAATAAATTGGAAATTAGCAAATTAGTTAAAGTTGCTATTATTCGAAAATTAGAGAACGAAACCTGATGGTTTTCTTTTATATATTTGTCACAATATCTTGTGGAATTCTTTCGAGTATCTCGCCTATATAAACTGTATCATTTATTATAGTGTTGTAGGGTATTCAACGGTCGGCCCCGCTCGACTGTAGCCTTTGCTTTCTTGTTTTTTTATTCTTTTTCTTCATCCTTTGTTAAGCCTCTGCGAGACATTAACACAAATATATCAAATTTATTGTCTGTTTATTCGTTCTTGTTGTTGTTGTGCCGTTCTTCAATTACTTTTCGCCCTTCCCGCCATTATTATCGTCAACATTTGTGTTTTGTTATTGTTGTTGTATGGCTGGTAGTTATTGACTTTTCTTTATTTTTCTCTTACTTTTTGCTATCCGCTTTCTTCTTCCACACACGCACACATCACCCTCACCACTTATCCTACCGGTAGTGGATTTCAAGTTTCTCCACAGCTCTTCTTCAACATGCTGTGTTACACGCTATGCCGCACAGCAAACGTTCATACATATATTTCATTACGCGTTGTACGAGCAATGTCAGCCTCCTCTCTGTTTACCGAGATTTTGTTTAGGTTTTAAAAGCAAATTTTAAATGGATCTACGTTTTTATCTGCTGCCTCCTCTTCTTGGCATCGTTATGTTAATGACAGTATAAAGCCGACATTATCAACCTGAAGGTATTTACAAATCTTATTTGCCCTTGAGAA